GCTATCCTACTCTGTCATTAATAGAATATAACCCATAGCTCCTTGAATTGTCACAATGAAAATAGGAGAACCCCTCAGGTACCTTTCACAAATGTTAGGACACCACTCATTGTATTGATTAAACTATGATCATTTTAATATTAATAAGCCAAAAATCTCCCTTGACTTCAACTTCACTAATTTGAAATTTAATTTTATATATTCATGAGGCTGATTTACATTTGCTTGAATCTTCAAAACAATTTGTTCTTTATATTTATAATATATCAATTAAAATGTAGGACTATGAAAAAGTACAGCTTTTCATCTAATTGATTAATAATTATAGGTAGTTTAGTCTGCTACATATAATATATTAAAATATTAAATTTTGCTTCTTTTGAAAAAGTCTATAATTCAGAATTTTCTTTTACCAAAATTCAATTTTTTCCCAATTATTCTTCATGAGGGACATTTTCTCCTTCTTTCAGGCTTTCCTTCTCTCTCAGTCAAACCCAACCCTTCTGCTGCTTCCATAAAAAGTCTAAAGACCTTATTAATTTACTCACAAGACAAGATATTTGGCTCTAGGATACAAATGTGATTGGACAGGTTCTCTACCCAGGAACCAGGAATAGTTCCAAGCAGGGTTTGTTCCAGCACAGAATCACCCTAACAGGCCCCGACAGGAGGACCACACGATTCCAGTTTCTAGGAATGAATGCCGCTCTGTTACATGATGCCTCATGCCCTGTCTTCACTGAACCTTTGACTCTGAAAAGATGAACTCACACTCTGGGAAAGGGAGGGGAAGGAATCTTTTAAGCAGTTAAAAAATGGTTCACATTTTAGGTCCTTGACACCCCAGGAATGAGGTTGCTGACCCGTACCTATGAAGAATTAAGGCTAAGTGTTCAAAGTCATCATCATGCCACGCACCCTACCTTAGGGACTCAATTTTATGTAGCAATAAGTACCAAAGTACATATGCATGCATTCCCATAGACAGACTTACTCCTCACAGAACTAGAAGCCAAACAATGTATTTCCCTGGGCACTCTTTTCTAACTTCCTGTCAGTGATGATGCCTTGGGTATTTATTAACTAGTGACATAATCGCTGTCTCATCAAGACAGCATATTTTAAAAAGACACACACATTGACCCACTCAGACTGACTGTGTGTGTATTTAGTATTTCTATGAGCTACCACATGCTTTTAATTTACTGTATCATCAAATGTCAGGGTTTAAAGAAAGTTTTACTACATAAGAAAGTTTTACTACTTTTCAAACATAGATTACTTTTCAACATAGATTCAAAACTTTTTTTTTTTTTTTGTATTTTTAGGGAAGGGTCTACAGGGTGTTCAGGGTCTCACTACTAAATCAGACTTGTAGTGATCTGCCTGTTTACAGCCTCCCAAGTGCTGGGATTACAAAGCACAGGCCTCCATGCCCAGGCTCATTTGCTGTCTCAGCATGACCCAGGGGCAGGGCTGGCACGGCAGGCCTGGGGAATAGAACCCCTGGCCCCTGTGCCTGCTTCCAGTTGCTTTAATCCACTGAGCTATTTTCCCAGTCCTTCAAAACATTCTTAACTGAATAAATCCTTTAAAAAGAAGGAAGAGTGAATTGTTTAGAACCATATCTCAAATAGGTCATAGAACACAAGGCTAAATCCTCAATACTCTGAAGCCTCCATTACCATGATACTGGCCTTGGCTCAGCTCCCCCCAAAACCTCCCACCTGACTGCTTGTTCCCACACTCATACCTCTGTCCTGGTTAGCTCTAGCTCTCTCCCAGGCCCACAATGCCTTGCATGTTACCTACATGCTATGCCACCTTGGAATACCATTCTCTTGTGAACTGAGTGGTAAGTTTGTGTTTTGAGGAGTATGTTACTGGGCATGGCTTCTGCCTACCATGTGCATCTTTCAGTCATCCTCTAAGGCTCTCTGATGGTACAGGCACAGGAATTCACAAGAAAGACACAAGTTAGGCAAAAAATATTTGAAAGAAGGGTAACAGAGAAGACACAGGTCTTGGAGGTCCCACACCCTCTCCAGTAAAATAAAAGAACCTCTGATTTGAGATGAAAGAAAAAGAAGGTTCTGGAATGAGACAAGATGCAAGATTCATTGTAATATGAAACCTTCCTATTCTTTGAGAAGTCAAATTGATGTAGAAGAAGAGGGGCAAGCATATGGTAAAGACCCGTTTGAAGTCTCAGAATCCAAGAATGGGCAGAGCACAAGCCTCAAATGCCAGAAGGAGTCCAGAGAGATAGCAAGCTCTACAGGAAAGTTCTTGAAGTTATGGTTTGTGGCAACTGTAAAGAGGAAATAGTAACACAAGAGTGCCTATGTGTGGGACAATCTTCGGAGATTCTCAAGGTCATGACCCATCGGGGGTTTATGTGGCCAAGATGCAAAACTTACACACTAAGAATTATCCTGAAGAGAAGAGTAGCATCTGCAGTGATAAGCCAAAATCTGACTGCCCTTGGAGTGTGACTTTCAAATCAATAATGCCTCTCAAGTAACTGAATTCATTTCTAAGTAGCCAGACTGTTTGTTCTGTATATTAGACCTAAATTAAATTGTTAAAAAATTGCACTTGTGATTTTTGAAAATTTATGATATGCATAATTTATTTACTATCTTCAAACATTTCTTTATATACTTTTCTTATCACCACATATTACTTGACACATGACTTTTGCCCATTGATACTACATCCTTTCTAATACTCTCTGATGATAGATGGTTCTCCCACAAGGGCAACATTTCCTAACCACTCTTCCTCCTCTTAAACTAAGCACCTTCAAGGAAATTTCTCATGATAGCATTGATAGTATTTAGAATTGTTTATCATCTCACTCCCGGGACCTTAGTCCTAAGGGTCTATGTAATTTCACTTCCATTCCCAGAGTCAAACATAGTGGCTTTGCTATAGCAGATATTTAATAGAATCTAGCAGATTCTTTACTGACTTTCAGCTCATAGATACTTATATATGTGTTGTGTGCACAGATATATACAAGGCAAGAGTGCATCACATCTAATAATAACATTATGACCTAATCTGTACTACAAATACAGTTAATTTATAACTAAATTGAACAGGTGGCTTTTCTTGGATTATAGCTCATCCCTCCCTTTCTCAAAGAATTACTACTTAGGACACCCTTCCTTGAGAAAGGACTATCTCCATCTCTTACTATCTTTTTCAATCTTTAAGACTCACCTTAAAATATCCACATTCTATTTTTTACTTCAGAAGAAATTTTCATTCCCCTTGGTATAATTCAAAAATAATATTGATCTTAAATGAACAGAAACTTTTAAAAAATATAGCATCTCCCTATAGAGTGCAGACTGACCTTTGAACTCTTGATCCTCCTGCTTCAGCCTCCAAACATCAAGGTTACAGGAGTGTTCCACAGTGTCCAGCTTCATGATTTGCCTTTGCTCTCAAATTATAGGCAAACATGGGGAAAAGTTGACCAATATAAAATGGGTGAAATAAGAAGGACCTCAATATGGGAGCCAAGTCTTGGGAGGACCAGGGCAACCTTGGCTCAGATAATGAAACAGATAGATAGCCAGTCCTATGGAAAACTCACTACTATAATGGAGTACTGGACTATATTGGAATATTTTGATGAATTCATATACCTACAATATTTAAATGGCAATGGAATACCCATCTCTGACAAAACTAAACAAAAAAGGGATACAAATGAAGGACCATGTTGTATCTGTACATTCAAAACAGGATAGATATAAAGCTACTTTCTCTTAATTCAACAAATAGAAAGATTTGTTCTAACAGTGTTTGTGGACAGGATATCATGTTTGCATCTTGTACTATGAATAACCACTATGAAGAGAACAATATTCAAGGTATTAATTATTGAAACTGTCCTACTAATAGGTTTTGAAACTGTCTCATTGCTATTTGTTTCTCAATAAAATTATTTTTTTTAAAGAGTGAAAAATAAAAAAAGAAACAGAGCCTAACATGAAAACCCCTTTTCTAATGAACCCACAGTGGTAACCTCAATTGTAGCTGGCATTCCAGGCCTTGCTGAAACAGCAACCTATGGACTGCTTTGTACCCTATTTAATTGATGTCTTCCACAAATAATGAGTGCTGGAATGTGTCAAACATCCAAGATACAAAGTGGAAAGGCATAGTTCTTGCCCTTGGAAATCCCTGTCAAGTGATAAAAAGAAGAAACGGATGATCATTATCTAATGTGGGGCAGAGCAGGGCACAGGCCAAGACGGGGCAGAAGGAGAGCAGCAGCCTGTGAAAGGCTGGCACAGCAGCCAGGAAAGAAGGGCTAGAGGTGGGGATGGCGAGCACTGGCATGAAGCTAGGAAAAGACAGAGCGAAAGCCTCCTCTTCCAGAGTAAACATCAAATAGACACTGACTGAGGTGGAAAAGTCCACAGAGAAATATGTGTAGATCATTTGGAGAGTTGGAAATAAATTCCAAGTAGATAGATTCGAATATGATGAAAGAGGTATAGTCTTAGAAGGGGAGAATTACAAAGAGGGAAGCTGATTCTTCTCATGACAAGCCAGACAAAATTCTTGGTGTCACTGATAAAGCCAAAAAACTTAAAACTAACGAGGAAAATAACCTATGCAATCTTACTTTGAAAGATACATACAATTATGTTGATGTGCCCATTGCTAAGCAATTCCCTATACTTGAAAACTTAAGTTACTATAAGTTTTTCTCCTTTAGATAGGACTGTGTTCCAGAGCTCTGTCAAAGGGTCTCAGTCCACATCTCTGATTACTGCTGTAGAGCAGGATCTTCTCCTGGGGAAGCTAAACCAAAAAGTCATGCCTTTTTCCATGTCCCATGACTCCTTCCACAAGACCCTGGAGGACAAAGACCTTCAAGATCAATAAGAAACTTACTTAAATTATATACTTTTTTCAACTAGTTAAGTTACATGCTATTAGTTTAATTTCATGTTCACAGCTAAATTTTAACTCACCTGCTCCAACCTCTGACCCCACAGAAAGAGAAAGACATGTGAGTCCCAGTCTCACATGTGCGGGTTGTTCCCAGGCACACAATGAAACAGGGAGTTAGTAGAGATCCACAGATGGGACTACAGTCACCCTGAGAGCCACAGAGACCTGAAGGACTCTGCAGGAGGGAAACTGTCCAGTCAGAAAATAGGCACTTGGCTCCCAAAATAGGACTTGCAGTCATCTTCTGCTGCTCCTAGACTTATGAATGTAACTGCCAGTCCAGAAGGTTGAGTGATTGAAATCTCAAGGTACATAATGTCAAACCACCACCAGGAGTCCTGGTCCTATGCTCTACCAGGAGTGGTACACAAATAAATTAAACTCCAGGTCCTTGCCAGCTAATTTCTTAACCTCTGATGATCTGTTTTGAGATTGATTCTGGACAAATGGTGAGATGTCACCATGGATAGTAAACAGTGAAACAGGTCATGTGGTATGCCTTGCCAGTCCTGTACTATCCAGTCTGACACCCCCAGGGGCACTGAACTGGAATGTGGTTCATTTCTACTAAGCTCTGCTGCCTGGGTAAGTACACACCAGCATTCAAAGACAGTGCAGCAAAAGAATGTAAATTCTTCCCTTCATTTTTATACTGATTATATGACAACATTATTTTGTATCTATTAGGTTCAATGCTGTATTACTGAAGCTAAGTTTCACAAGTTCCTTTCCATTTGGTTTTCTGTTTTTTTGTTTGAAATGCTGAGGACTGAACCCAGGACCTCTCATCTGCTCCATGCTAGGCAAGTGTTCGTTCAGTGAGATACACCTGCAATTCTTTCATTTGTTTTTCATTATTGTTGTTTTGCTTTTATGTGTGTTTTTATCTTTTTAGGTTATATTAATGTGGTCACTACATATGTAGTTCACACTTTTCTATTGAACAACATTGCTTTGTGGAAGAGCAAGCATGTTTCAACCTATCCCAGAGAGCTATGCGTTAAGACAGACTTTACAGTTAGTTTCCTGGCCTGACTTCAGAGTTCCCACCTGAGACTACTACAATACTGCTAAGTTTTCTCTTTTTTATTAATTTTATTGAGAAACAAATAGCAATGAGACAGTTTCAAAACCAATTAGTGGGACAGTTTCAATAATTAATACACTGCATATTGTTGTCTTCATAGTGGTTATTCGTAGTACAAGATGCAGACATGATATCCTATCCAAACACTATTAGTACAAATCTTTCTTCTCATTGAATTAAGAGAAAGTAGCTGTGTATCTATCCTATTTTTAATATACAGATACAACATGGTCCTTCATTTGTATCCCCTTTTTTGTTTAGTTTTGTCAGAGATGGGTATTCACTTGCCATTTAAATATTGTAGGTGCATGAATTTAGCAAAATAATCTAATATAGTCTAGTAGTCCATAATAGTAGTGGATTATCCACATGACTGGCAATGTCAGAAGTTGTTGACTTGAGCCTTTTACAGATCAGCAGATTAATATGGCTTTACTTGTTATACCTCGTTTTTATATTTTTTTCTGCTGGATGATTAAGACCAAGATGACCTATATAACAAGAAATGTAACTTTTGTATCTGACAAGGTCAGTCAAATGCCCTCAGGATTTACCCTGAAACCCCGTACCGCAGTTTGTAGATCCTTTGTCAGTGTCAGCCATGTGAATGAGCATTGCTTGACCACTTTGCTCTCTGTGAAAGCCTGAGAGAATATTTTCTCTCCATGTGACTCTCCTTAGACACACTCTACATCATCGATCACTTTCCTTAGTGGCCCCATAAGCTCCTTGATCAGAAAATTTGGGACTTTACTTGGAAGACCAAAAAAACTCCACCAAGAAGCTACTAGAATTAATGCACACATTCAATAGCATAGCAGGATACAAAGTCAATAGCCAAAAGTCAATAGCATTCCTCTACAAAGATAACAAACACACTGAGAGGAAAATTAGAGAAACAATACCTTTTACAATAGCACTGCGGAAAACGAAATACCTTGGAATTCATCTAAGTAAAGAAGTCAAAGACTTGTTCAATGAAAATTACAGTACTATGAAAAAAGAGATCGTAGAGGATTTCAGAAAATGAAAAGATATTCCCTGTTTCTGGATAGGAAGAACCAGCATTGTGAAGATGACCATACTCCCAAAATTGTTGTACAGATTTAATGCAATCCCTATCAAACTACCACCAACATACCTCTCAGACCTAGATAAATTGTTGCTAAGTTTTCAAAGGGCCACAACACACTGCTTTGAAATGAGATATAAAAAGTAAAGTCACATGGAGAGTAAAAATCCCTAGATCAGAAAGTTGTCGTTTTCATAATTTGCCAGTAGAGGGACACAGAACCCCACTAAAGACTGCCAAGCTAGGGTGCTGATTGGTTGGACTGGAATACAAATTCTTGTTAACCAAGACTGTTAATTAACAGGTAAACTTACTGAAGTAAGAAAATGGAATGAATTCATATTTAATGTAAAAATTTCTTCAAAATTTAAAGATGGATCTGATAGTAGGGGATGGTTCAATACCCCAAAAAATTATCAAAATAAATTATTTGAACTCCTCTTACTCTGAATTACAATTTTTAAAATAATTTGAATTCCCCTTTCAAATATGTAGCTACTGATGAGTAAAATTCCAATGTTTTCTGATGTAATCATTTATAAATGAGTTCTATCCTGTTATATACATAAAATCTTTACAACCCCAAAGGTAGTAGTCAATGTTTAATACCAGGCCATAACGAATGTCCTTAAGGACATTTATTCTTCTGAAGCTAATTATTGTCAGGTTCTCTTCTTGGCACCTTCTAGACACATTTGATTGAAATACAGAAGTTCTCAAAGTTCTCACTGGTGTCCTTATAAGAGGGAAATTTGGACAAAGAAACTCAGAAATCAAGAGAACATGTGATGAGAAAGGGGAAGAGATCTGTGTTTCATCTGCAAGCCAGGGAAGAGGATTTTGGGTGGCCACCAGAAAGAAGACTCAAGGCCAAATCCGTCTCTGGTGCTTTCAAAGGGACCATGGCCCTGCCGCCATCTTAATATCACACTTGCAGAGCTTTGATCGAATGTCTTTCTGTTGTTTCAGCTGCCCAGTTTGTGCGTTTGTATGTTTTCTTTGTTTTCAACAGCAGCCCTGGGAGAGTAAAACACTGAGGTCCTGTGGCTGACGAAGGGAGGTTTGGAAGCTGATCAACCAAAGTTCCAGAGACGGTTGTCTTTTATGCTCTGACCCATTGTAAAGATATCTTTTAAACTGTGTTTGAAAATTCTTTCAATCCATCGCAGAAACATTTCAAAAAGTAAAAAAGCTAGGGAATCAGAAAACCTAATAGACTTAGATTTATTCACATTCGTGGGAATTGATTCATGAACAAATTTTTACATAAGATTAATAAAACTACCAAAGTTAGGCTGGTGGTGCACACCAATGCTCCGAGCATCCTGGGAGTCAGAGACAAGAGCATAGCAAGTGTGAGCCTAGATCAGACAACCTAGGAACTTAGCAAGACCCTGTCTCAAAATTTTAAGTATATATATAAACTGGGCATATAGCTCAAGGAAAAGGTCCTAGGTTTAATCCCCAATGCCACATTTAAAAAAAAAAATACTACAGAAATAAGTCAGCTTCAACCCCACCTGTCACGTGTACACCTCTATGGAGGAAGAAATAGCATCTCATATTCATCAACATCATGCCCCCTCCCAGGAACTCTGTGTGTTCCTTTTAGCTCTCAGATTGACCTATGGCATTGACTGTTGACAAAATTGGACAGGACATGGACCTGTGGTCTAGGAGAATCACACATCCAGTACCTGATGTGCACTTATCTAGGTTAGACTAGAAAGAATGTCTCCAGCAGAGATAAATGTATGAAATGATGGGGAAATAATAGCTTAAAAATTTGGATCTTCACAAACCACAGAGCACAATCCCACCTGTACACCTGAGCCTCTGCATTTCCCCTCTGCAAAGTCCAGCCTCTTACCTCCCACCTGAAGGCAACAGCTCAGTGGCTGTTCCTCCAGTAGTCAGCCCACAGCAGTCTACTTTCCTTCCAGAATAGCTAAAACTTTCACAGTCTGTTCACCCTTGTCAGCTACCACTGCATAGTGAAGTTTTTTTTCCAGATGTCAACAGACTGCAACCTCTTTGAGAACAAGAACTGTACCTAGACGGGGAGTTGCCAACGAAAGTATGAAAGCTAGGAATGCTACAAAAGATTGCTCATTTGTGAGTGCCAGCTCCCAAATCAAAGAACAGTAAGTATTGAAAATAAGGGCTCATAAGGGGAGAAAATTAACTAACTCTAAGTCAACTCCAGAAACAAGCAGTGTGCTGTAAATGTAAAGGGTTTATAACTTTGCACCATGTAAGAATCCTGAGTGGTGCCCATGAGATGGAGGGGAATGGCCAAGAGTGGCAGAACCTGCACGCTATTCTGTTCTGCTGAAAGAGGACTCATCTAACAATATCCACAGTGTGGTTAAAAATGCAGAAACACTGAGCAGTGAGGGCATGATGTGCCAGGGATACCAATAACAAAGAAAAGCCTGAAAAGAACAATCAAGGAAATGGTCAAGTTGGAAGTTTCATTTAATCATTATTTCAGCCATGATTTGCAGTCCATCAGAGCTGGCCTACCCACCTCCAGAAATGTTAGGCATGCTACGTCAGAATTGCCTGTAAGATCTGAATTCATAGCTAGCATCCAACACCTTAGAAAGTTAATGAACTACCCAGATCCCATTAGTAAGGTTTCCTAAAATTCGAAAGGCAATTTCAGGTCGTGTCTGACCCAGTGGTGCCCCAGGAAGGACACACTGCTATAAAATTTGTTTTATTTCTCTAAGGAATAATGCTGCATCTTTGCATCAAGTAGTACCTAGAGGTAAAAATAAAAGTGCCACCTTTTACTGAGTAGCCACTATGGGCCAGACATCAAAGTCTATGTCATCTCCCACTTTTGCGCTAACCTTCTAAAAGACAAATCATTAGTCCAGTTTTAAAGACTAGGAAACCAAGTGTCAGAACAGTTAAGTGTCTGTCCTTGGGTCCCACTTCAAAATTGC